AAGAACGACTCTATGGGGTTTTAGGATTCGACGGACATAATGGCACTGGCCTATTGTCTACGTAGCTGCAGACTGCCAACATCCGCCTCCGGGGTCGAACCATGTCGGCTCATCTGCATACCAGCTTACAACCCTTCGGCCGTTTAGTTCCGAGCATCGAAAACGCTAATTCCACCCATACCCCGTTACTCATCAATGAATCTCGATCACATACTATTATTGTGCTGTGCGTCAGATAATTTGACGAAGTGACGTCTCTAGATTAATTAAAACCGACACGTGCTTTCAATTCAATCTCGTATAATATTCCACAATTTTCGATAAACCGCTTTCAATCAATTTTAGATTGCCGTTCATTATTTAAAAGAATTTGTGATGGATTCGATCGAAAACTATTTTATTAGACACGCATTATTAATCACGATTGTTTTTTCTGTGAGAGATTTTTTTAGCAGCATTATGTATGAGAAGGCACGTATAGTCATTAGTCGAAAATATTTCCAGTCGTTCTTATTTTACGATTGCTCGTAAATGATGTGTGCGATATTGATGTTCACGGGAGATAAATATAGGTTTATACAGTATAATACTGCAGGCACTCGCGAATTCTTCTACTATACTGATTTGAATTCCTTTCGCTTTGCAATCTTTTCCGGAAAATTGAAAAAAATGCTGAAATTATTTCCTGGAATACACAGGAATACACAGGAATACGCAGGAATACACAGAACTTAACTTCGTACAAACGACGACGTACGATTCACCGCAATAATATATTGCTAAATCAACTAAATTCTGCGAATAGCTAGTTGCATTGTGGCTGCACTTACTTAATTACCGGATTATGGTAACTAACATCACGCGTTGAATGTATAACAAATCTTGTCCGCGAAATGGAAATGTTAATTGCATCGCCGTTTAGAGTGCAACAGTATGTCATTTGAATCCATAAATAAATTACGAACGGGTTTGATCACAGGTATGTATGCATATTTACGTGCTATACGCTAAATACATCCTATACATTTCCAAGTTTCACAATAAATTTTTGTATCATAAAAATTGGCTTGTGAATTTTTACTACAAGAAGCTTGACAATAAAATGTTTAAAAAATTCTTTTATAATAAAAATATTTTTATATATTTTTTCCAAATTTCATATTTTATTTTAAAAACAAAGGGTTTCAAAAGATTTGTAGCAAACATTTGATTAAAGTAACGAGTAAAGCTTACTTAAAGTTATAATTACAGACAGCTTCTCACACGAATGTACTGCGTTTTTGCATTATGTCATTTGCATAATGTTTTGCATCGCGTTCTTCGAAATGTCGATTTACAACTGATTTGTGCAACAGTAAAACGGACTTATGCATATATCGCGAATCCCACTTTGCATATATCCAATTGTCGAAAAGGCTCTGATCCAGCGAACAGATCATCCGCAATTTCTCACGGAGTTTCAATCCCCGTGCATCCTGCATATCATTTAAAAAACATCAGCTATTCTCCTATATATTTGAAATCGCTGATTTCGAGGCCGAACAATCTAACTTCTTACCGTGGGATTTCGGCAAGGTGTGTACCCTTAAACGCACAGTCAAGCTTTGACATCCAGTATTGCTTACCGTTATGTTAATGTTACGAATTGGGCCGCTTAAACGCGCACCGGTTAAACATTCGGTTCTTCTCGAGCTATGTGTACCATGACGGATAAGTCCAGTTTCTGCCTTCAGCGCAAACGATAATGCAATGCAAGATGCAACTGGACCATGTAACCATTGTCGTCTAAAATTCAACTTTAAAAAATTTAAATCATCAATCTATCACAATCTTTTGTATCTTTTTTATTTTTTACTTTCTTTCAATCTTATCTTACGTCTGCATTTATAGCTTGATGTTTTTTTTTTAATTTTTTATCTTCGGGCAAATATATATAAAGATAAAAATATTTAGGAAATTGCAATACCTTTGAAGCATTAAAAATAACTAATTTAAAGTGAGTCTGCTGTAGTCATCGTTTTGTCAACATGTTTTTTTCTATATATATATTTATACGTATATGTTATTCTATACTATACATATAGACGCAGACCCGATGATTTCGATTTAATGTATGCAGGTTAGACGCCGCTACCTGTCTTACCCTGAGAACTCGGCGGTGCATTGTGATTGTAATCGCCGGCTGCAGGTCACCCCGTGGCCTAACCGGGGTCAGGGTCATTTCTGAATTATTTAAATTGCGCAACCCACATTCCTTCCTCCAGGTACGCACCGCTCGCGTCACTGTGTCTTCGCGATCTTCTGCAAAACATAATAATCAGAAAGGATGAAAGAGTCGGTCTTTCGCGAGGACTCGATCACATGTCCGCAATTAAAATACATTAAATTACAGCTCCTATTTGTTGAAATACATCTCTTATAATTTCAACGATCAATATTGATTTAATCTACAACTTGAAAGATACGTAAAAAGGATTATTATACAATATTAATATAAATATTTTACAATAATGACGGGGATTGAGGCTTACAATTCTCTTGTTTTTTATCTACGAGTTCTTTGATAAATTGAAATTTTATAATAGATAAAATCAAATAAAATTTTCATGAATGAACGTTTTAAGACGTGAATAGCGCAGTCGGGAAACGCGATCAAAACGCGTTTACACTCCATTTGGCATATTCAAGACTACTCCGCGTTACTTTAATTCTTGAGAGCGTGGATACTGGATTCGTTTCTTTCGTGAATTCATCGATACGTACGGAGTCTTGGACGGTGATCCGCAGGGTGTATATTTTGTGCGACTCCTTTCTCAGGATCTGCCACGCGATGTCCCACTGGGATCCCTGCGAGAGGAGAAATGACACGAGCGGGGGGTCCAGTATGCAAAGCGGGGCCCGTTTTCCGGCCGCTCCGAATATTGATGTATAGCCGAGTATGCAGATGAGCGTGAGAATGCAGCTCGTGCCGGATGGTGGCGCGAATAGGCGAACCGGAAGTAAGCCAGTTCCCTCACCCCCGGTAGCTCTTCTGTCGTGCCACCGTTGTGCATTCGTTCTTTCTTAGAAGATGTGCTGCTGCGATTGACTTTCGCGAACAAAGACGTTTGGTTAAAGCAAAAATCAAAATATTGCCGAAAGCTTAGCGGATAAAAATTCACGAAAATTCAACAGAGAAAAATAGTATTACCTTTAAATTATATCTTTAATCTTTGTTTAAAAAATTTAATGTAAGCTGCAATAATATACAACTTCTTAACGTTAAATTTCCAACGTTACAGATTTTGTTTTTCTGACGATTCAGTTATGAGGGAAAAGATGAAAATACATAGATGGTTGTGAGCATTATTTTGACCAACAGTTCTATTGTAAATACGATGTTCCCGTAACATGCAATCTGTGCTAGAAGTTTGTTGTAGCAAATAAAAATTTATATTGTTTAACAATGCGTGAGGTTGACTCGGGCTAAATTGGCACTCGTGGTTTCAAAAGCGGAAGCGAGCTATTCTGCTAGCATTTGTGTATCCAACTGGTTCTACCAATTTCACCAGAATTTATTGAATTGATCTAGCTGTTTGAGTAGAATAACCACAGAATATCCTGATAAAATAATACCTGGTTTACCAATATATACGTATATGCCATATTGCTGTAGCCAACAGGTATGAGAGCAATACCAAGCGTATTAATCGATAAATATAACTTTCAAATATAAAAATTTGTTTAATTTTTATATCAATTTTTAATGTATTTTTTTTACATTTACAAAAAGTTTGTTGCGCTGCTACGATAAAATTATAAATACAATGCTTATCACATTTCAATCTATTATCGTAATTTTTATTTATACCGTCTATAGATTTTTCAAACGTTTTATTGTTGTTAAATAATTGATGAGCGCAGTATTAAATATTAGACAACTCTGTTCTATTAATTGCAAATTTTGTAACATACCGGGAATACAGCTTCGGCGGAAACTGCAGAAGCGGAATTTAAAGAGCAATAATGTCACTTTCGGCAAGATTTCATTGTCCTTTTTTTCCCCTTTTTCTTTCGTCTCTCCTTCTCGTTCACACTCTTTTTTACCGTCTCTTTCTACAGCAGTCTTCTGCCACTGAAATATCTGTTTAAACCTGCACGAGGTACGAGAACGGGACGGAGATAAACAACAAGGAATTAAATATACAATAAAGTGCGGAGTCCGGACAGCGAAAGGGCGTGGTGGGGTGGCGAAAGGTGGGAAAAAGAGAGAAACTCCTTTGCCGGCCGCGCGCCATTCCGCCTCGCACACCCTCTTGCGCGCCTCAACCCTGGGCCACCCGCATAAATAAATCCAATTGGCTCAAATAAAATGTACGAAACGAAGTCGCGCCAATGGCCGGGGTATATTTTATTTTCTCTCATTTTCCCTCCCTCCCGCGCAGCGCTTTCGCTCTGTCTCGCTTCTTCTTCTCCGCCCACTCTTGCATCTACCCTTTCCGTCTACTCGTCCGTAGTTCTTTTTCTCTCGTTTTGCTCTTTCGTCCGCTTCTATCCCTGCGACGACGGTAGGATAATTCAATCTCGACTTTTCACGGATTTCCCATCAAAGGAGACACACCGGTTACGAGCCGAGAGATTTCTCTTTCCCGGCGCGTCTGCAGTTGCTCTGACTTTTTGAATTGAAACCGTCCTTATTTCTTATTCGTCCTTACCAACTCTCGGCCCTTTCTGCGCGCTTTCCGTCGCCACGATGTACATATTTCAACTCATATCGATATTTTACTAATTAATATCCTGAATATATTGTTGTTAAATGTAGTTAACGCTACACTCTCGGCATATTATTAATTTACTTAAAATTAGAACATTAATATTATTATCAAAATAATTCCACATTTTTAATTTCTTGCTAATAATTACAAGAAACAGATGCAAAATGAATAACATGCAGTATAATAAGATTGAATAGATTTTTAATAGTTTCTAAGGCCGCGCAATTTTTAATATATTGTTGAATTAATAAAAAAAAGATATGTAGCTCTCGATTATATAAATGTACATTTTGATATTAGCGTATAATAATATCTTACATCATTAAATGTCTATTGATATCTGATTGGCTATCATTTCAAAACTTATTAAGATTTAATTCCCAACACAGTGCCATCAAATTATTACAATGCAGCAATAGTGAATGTTACATTGAAATGCATCCATGCTCCATCAGTAATACATTACTGATGAGAATATATATCATTTCATGATGTATGAAGCCGCATTAGTTACTTGATATTTAATTAGTCTACGGCATAATGTATCAATTATATATCTACTGCATTTAACCAATTTATTAATTCAATAATTATACTGCAATACAATTACAATTGTTAATTCGATTTTTTCATGCATCTTTATCTCCCCATTTATTTTTATTTAACTAACGTTATTAATGTTGCCTTAATTTACTTTTGCCCCGCGTATTCGCTATAAAAATATCTGTATAATAAAATTCAATAATTTACGCACATAATTGTTGATGCACAAAAATGCTGGTTTCCACTCCACGTGGACCAAGACACGTGCAGTAGAGGTTTCTTCATTAACAAGGTGCTCTGTCTGCGTGGAAGGAGGCGAATTTCGTTGGGGCAGGTCACTTCCGTAATTACCTCCTCTCACGGAAGTCCCAGGATGCTCGAACTTCAGCGGAGGTGGTGGTAGCGGCGGCGACCCTCCTCAAGGTCGCCTCTCATCCCCCGCAATTAAGTCCTCCGACAATTAGATCGATAAACGCAAGGAGGCGCCCTTCATGCCTCTCGTGTCGGGGCATTTATGCGCTCCGTGTAACAACCGTGACTCTCTTTTCCTTTCTCCTGCCCTCTCTCTTTCATTCGCATCCCGCCGACGATAATGAATCGCTGAAATTACAGCATGCCGTTAAGATCGGCTTGGGATCTCTTTAATAATGTTATCTCCGTTTCACGTTTAATCTTTGATTAACCAAAATACCTGGTGTGTATTAAAGTTCCGTAATTCGACCGCGGAAAATGCTTGCACGGAACAATCTAATCACGTTATATATACTATTTACCCTCATTTACCTCTTCTCTAACTATTTCAGCTAAGGAATCTTTGAATTTTATTAATATTAATATTATAAATAATGGCAAAAGTAAGAATTTATCAAATTGATTGCAAGATTAAAAAGAAATTAATATACATTCTTCTATAATTTATTATGTAAATTATAAATCAGAACTTATCACTATTATATATTTTTTTTGCACTTGCAAAACCTCTCAATTTTATTGAGGATGTTACTTTATTTATAGAAATTTTAAATCACTAATCCTAGAATTTTGAAAAAAAACAGGAATTAGCATATCCAATCGTAACTTGACCAGATCCTTTTTGAAAAATTTATAGTAATTTTTTACATAAACAAGTATATCAAAACATACCATTCAGCAGATTCAACTTGAAGATGTAGTTGGAATTCTAAAATGTTGGAAAATTTTGAGAGAGAGTGGTGAAGCTTAGGTTTATTTTATCCCCAGCGAATTCTTGGAAAACCGGATAAGAACCAACATTGCCATCTATCGTAAATGATAAGAACGAGGGTTTCCTTTGCAGTTTCCGGAGAACCCGCAACCTCGTTGGGTGACGTGACGAGCGACGTCGACGCCGACGCCGACGCCGACGCCGTGCGTTCAAGATGGCCGCGGATCGTTAAACAGTCACGCGCAAACTCCTCGGGGGGTGGTGAGGGTTAAAGAGGGTTGGTTTGGGAATGTTCTTCCTTCTTAATAGGGTCGAAGACTAGTTACGATCTCAGATCGACACAGCAAACTTATCGGACCTTCTTCATTCATTACAAGACGTATAACGGTGTGCAAAGTGTCGTAGCTAGATGATAATTTGCTGATTTTGTTTGTTAAATATAGCATTTTACCTCTTTATTAAATTTTATGGAAAAATTTTTATCAATTATAATGCAATATTTATGATACGTAGATTTTTGCCGGGCATTTCTCTTTCAACTTATGTGTTACTAATAGTTACATTTGTCTCGCATTGGTGTGCATGAGATATATTATACACATAAAATCATTAAGTAAAATATATAAATATTTGAAGTGTATTAAAAAATAGTATGAATATATACAACTCGATCTCACATACTGCTATACATTTGTATGTATAATACAATTTTAAGTTTATAACAAAAAAAATTTAATTAGAACAAAATATAAATTAAAACAACTATAATGTTATCCGAAAGATGTGAAGATTTTGAAAGGCATAGAGAAATGTTAAATCTTGTAAATTTCGAATTATTTATTTTATATATATTCACTGCAAATATTACGTTATCATTTTTGTTGGATTAAGAACTATTCTGCAAATAATAATTTAGAGAAATTGACATATAAAGAATTTTAAATGAAAATTCTATAGGAAAATGTTTTCATTTAAACAAATTAATTATCAATTATTTATTGAAATAATATGTGGTCGATAAATTACAATGGACGATGGCATGAAATAGCCCGGCATGTCAACGGCCAGCATTCAGTACACTTCGTAAGCGTAGTAAAGGTTATCGTCCTTTCGTCGAACAATTGCAGAAATAACAGTGATCATTACTTTAAAAAGGCGTAAAGGGCGCATACGGTCGTGGCGTGTTTGCACTTTTCAACATAAAGCTCATTGCCCTCCGCGTGAAAGCATTTGTACTCGCTTTTTACCGGCACGTATGTACGCACGCGTATTTTAAGTATCAAGTGAGCGCAATAATATCGCACATGTTAGATAACATTCTGTATTGACGCGTGACTCCGTTCGACACCATATGATGCATCGGAAGTCGTCATTCAATGGCAGCTTTTTTTTTGTTTTCTTACGCGGCGATGCGTAAAAATGCGTGCGCGTGGATTTCAAACGCAGTCGTTAATAGGATCGAATATCGATATATGATATCGTAAATCGAGGACGTTGCTTAATACAGACAGCGATTTTTTTATGATACGTTGGTTAATATTATACGTAACAAAAAGTGATAGCTCTGCATGGTTGCCGCACAATAAACCGCGACATGCCTATACATTTATCTATAAATAAATCACTTGTGCATCGGAAAGTTTACAGGCGATGAA